ATGAGAGTGAGGAAATACATTTGGCACTCAGTGGGTGGCGTTCTCACTGTGCAGATAGATATCTGGTTGTAGCTAAGTTTGCCTTGTTCTGAGAGATATTTCAAATTCTGCTCAGAGGAAAGAGCAAGATAAGTGCTGAGAAATTTTTCTCGAGACAGCTACTAAAGCCTTTTGAAGTACTGATAAATTTTTGAGTTTCAGTGAACGCGTTTATCGTCGTTGAATTTAACCTTCTGAACACCGACTTGAATGAAACATTTGCTCATTTGTCAAACAGAAAATAGATATAAATCAGCGTGTAAGACCGTACACAGCATGAGAAGAACGGCGAAAGCAATGTTTACAAATCACTCCGATAGATCAGTTTTGATCATTTAGCTGGACTGTTAGTTAGCATTTGCCACCGGTGAAGATACCGGGCGCCGGGCCTTCAAACAATTATTGCGATTTTAGTGTTGTTTTTTCATTCCTTAAATAAAGTGACCGCCGCAGCCAGCTATTCCATCTTGTCCTCCCACTCCTCTGGCGTACATTTTAAGGACAAATCGATATTTTTATGGATGTGTAAAAAGTCACGAGCCGAGCTGCGAAAGTTTGAAGTTCTTTCTGCACGTTATGCTGCCCTTAAGGGAATGTGGCTCGAAAGTGCCGTGACATGGCCAAAACCATTTCAGTTATCTCACTATGGTTTTACAGCAATGCGATCCTGAGAAAGCAAACGACACAGATCAACGATATGTCACAAAAATTTGTCCAGCACCATATAAAAGGAAACAATGATAAGTCAGTGTCTTTTCAGAGTGTTAAACAACACACATTTGCGAGTCTTTGCAAATTTCTCTGCTAACAATGGCTGGGGTGAGACATAAAGTGTGTGGTTATCACAATACTGAAAACTTTAAGTGCTCATTTCTTTTCCTTGCAGAATCTCTTACCAGGCTGGTTACTCTAAATATGATGTAAATAGTGAACAACTAGTTTGCCGGTCTAAAGGACTTAATTATACCTTGCAATTAAAGAATTATTGTTGATTATCAAAAACCTAAATTAAGTCTTTCATTCATTCATTCCTTCACACAAGAACAAAAGAATCATTCAAGTGTTCAGTTTGTTATTTGTGCCGCAAAGTGTACGACAATTTGAAATTCTCTTAGAGTAATTCCAGTTCTATCTTCAAGTATAGAAAAGTTCTTTTTCGGAACTCCATTCCATGTAAGTGAAAAATAGCAGTTCCCTCTGTTAACAGTTCTTTTAAGAACTACATCTCCATTTTAAAGAGATGTCTCTCCCTGAACAAGACGATCTTCCGACAATCAACGCTCTCCATGTCCACGTCTGTGAACCATGCTTTTTGGGATGCGATCCCAATTTTAAGCTCCAGGTGTGTAACGAAGTTTTGTGGACTTTGAGGAAAAGTTCTGAAAAGGAAATAGCGATAAGTTTCTTCAACTGCCTCTGGGAACTTGGCTTTAGACTCACAGATGACGGCGAAAAGCGTGTATTAAAAGTCACGAAGTCACGGTCCAAAAGTCACAAAGTTCCAGAAAACCTACTCCAGCATTCAAGGAAAAAGAGCTCAACAAGAAAGAAGAGACCAGTGGTTTACAATACTTGTTAGCCCTCAAGAATTCAGTAGCCTCTCCTGGAATGAAATGTGTTTGCTACGACAGGAAAGTAAGTGCCTGGCGGAAGAGAATGAACAGCTTCGTTTGGATATCGAGGAAAGTGCAAGGGAGTTATACGATCAGATGAAGGAAGCCAAACGCTGCAACAGCAACTCGCTGAGTTAAAAAGTAATGGCAAAGAGCAACAACAGGCACATCGCGGTCGAGACTACAGTGATGTGTCGTCAAGACAATAGCAAAGGCAGCGACTTCAAATCAAGTAGGTCCCTACAACTTACGTATTCATTATTAGCCTTACTAATTCATGTTAGGATATAAATGTTGTAAAATTGTGAAGGTTTACGTGCAAAAAGTTCAGTATAAATGGTCATTCACTACAATCATGTTAAGGAAAGTTTGATATTCATAGTTAAACTATTACTCGTTATCATTATCATTAACTCAGGTTGAGCAAGAAATTATTTACTGTTCGTTTCTGTTTTAGAGAACAGGCACAGCTGAAGCCCTCTGGTTTGCGGAGACATTTAGACTCCTCCCAGTCTCCCTTCAACTAACAGACACAGAGGGCAGACCAGTGATTGTTCTGCTGAATCAAGGTGAAACAGGTAGACTATTTCACTTTTTTTCTTGGTTCTGTAAGAATTATTGAAATAATAGCAAAACATCTCTTTACCAAATATTTGAGTAGTTTGGCCCAAACTAGGAAATATCATCCTGCCAATTTCCCTTTAACTACTGAAAGTTTTTTGAAAATCCTTCAAATGTTGAAAATTCTGCAAGAGGCTCAAAAACACAAACTCTTTGTCCTAAATTGCTGAGAACATGGCCCCTACCAAACAAAGCCAAGGTCAGTCACCAGACAGAACAGGTAACAAATAGACAAAACTATATCAACAGTTTAAATTTATATTCTGTCTGTGTACAGAGTGATATAGTGACTTAACTTAACCTATGAAAGACTGTGGAGAAATGGACTTCAGTGATGAAGGAAAACTACATTTACATCAGTATTTGACATAAAATCTATTTTCCATGCTGCTGCAACAGACAGTATAAGCCCTGTTAGAAACTGCATAGCCCCATACCACAATTTTGACATTAAGCCCCTTTTAACAAAAAGTTGTGACTGTTGTTAACAGGTGAAAGACAATCACCCTACGATAAACTGCCTGAAGAAGAGAAAGAGAAAATCAAGACTCTTCTATTTATCATCAACAAGTTCTCTGTCTCACTACGTGCTTATTCTGGACTGGCACAAGAATCCCAAGACCTGCCTCGTCCTTACTTGGTAGAGCGCCACCAGAAAGAGATTGACAAACAATGGTCTGAGCAAATTACTCACACCCCTGGGACACATCCTGGATCTGAGTTACCTTTCTAGGAACTTCTAAGACACCAAATAGCCAAACATGTAAGCAGTGTGTTTTGTTAAATTGCAACCTTTCCACCCTTACTTATCTATACAGCCCAGTCGTTAGACTTCAACACCTTCATATTCACTTATTTAATATCAATATTCATTTGCAAACATTTTTTTACAGCTTACATCTATAGACAAAGCTGATGTGCCAACTTTTAAGGTAAGGAAAATTTGCAGTTAAATAAGCAATTTCACAAACTACATGTATTCCACTTTCAAATATGCACAGAGTTGTTTACAACAAAACATAATACCAAAAAAAAATAGATTTTTAATTTGTTAATGTCACTTGCTAAAACAACAACACGTCCTTTATATTTACAAGTTTGCACGTGTAATTAATATTAACAGTAACCAAAATTTTGATTCCCTTGTCTATGTAGGTGAAACTGTCTGATGATGGTGCAGCTCTTTCCCGGAACAGTAACCTATTTGTGTTTTCCTTCTCACTCCTTCCAGATAAAGAGAAAGTCATGTCAAGCACTGGTTAGTCTCATTCTCACTTATGATATATAATAATAATTATGATAAGTTCATAAAGATGGTGAATTTTAAGCTCGGTAATGAAATGTGAAGGTGAATTAATCAACATGACACGAGCATGGGACAAAGAAAAATTCTGA